TCCTCCTCCCTCCTCCTCCTCCCCTCTCCCCCTCCCCCTCCCCCTCCCCCTCCCCCCCCCTCCTCCTCCTCCTCCTCCTCTCCTCCTCCTCCTCCTCCTCCTCCCTCCCCTCCTCCTCCTCCTCCTCCTCCACTCCTCCTCCTCCTCCTCCTCCTCCTCCTCCTCCTCCTCCTCCTCCTCCTCCTCCTCCTCCTCCCCCTCCCCCTCCCCCTCCTCCTCCTGCGCCCCCCGCCACAGCTGCAGGCCTGGCCGCCCGGGGCGCGGCGGCCCGACGCCGCGAGAGGGGGGAGGGGCTGCGGGCGAGCGAGCAGAGGACGAGCCCGCGGCGCCGAGCCCCGCCCGCGGAGAGGCTCGCGGCCCCGTGGGCGCTCTCTCTCTCTCTCTATCTCTCTTTCTCTCTCCACCACTGGCAGGCTTACCAGCCTCGAACTCATCCCTATCCCCTAAGATTGGCACGCCAACAGGCGACGACAATCTTAGGGACTCGCCCGCAAGAAGTAAGGGAACCCCTAAGATTGGCATCGTGATGAGGAGGTGCCCAGCAGAGGGATAGGGATATGTTCCAGGCTGGTAAGCAGGCGGCCAGCCCCGCTGCCGCCGTCCCCGTGCCCGCGGCGAGGTGCGGTACGCGGCGCTGGACGCGTGGACGGCGCTGCGCCTGCGGGGGCCCCGGCGGGGGGGTCGCGGCGCGGGCCGTCATGGCGTCCAGGGTCCGCGCGGGGGGGGCAGGCAGCTGTGGTTTCGAGAGCCATAAGCACCCATCTTATGCAGCACCCCGCAATTGCGGATAAGAGTGAGGGGGCGGGAGCGGGCGACGCGGGCGTCGTCGAGCCGGCGGACCTCGTGGTCCCCACCTTCCTTGTCGATTGCGCTCTCCTCCTCCTTCTCCTCCTCCTTCTCCTTTTCCTCCTCCTCCTCCTCTTCCTCGTCCTCGTCCTCGTCGTCATCGTCATCGTCATCCTCCTCCACCTCGTCCTCCTCCTCCTCTTCCTCGTCCTCCCTCTCCCCCCCTCGTCCTTCCATCATCGTCCTCCCATTGTCGTCCACCCCACCCCCTCATCGGCCTCCATCATCGTCCTCTCATTGTCGTCCATCATCCTCCTCCTCCCCCTCCTCCCCATCCTCCCCCTCCTCACCTCCTCTCCCCCCTCCCCCTCGTCCCCTCCTCATCCTCCTCACTTCCTCCTCCTCCTCCTCCTCCTCCTCCTCCTCCTCCTCCTCCTCCTCTTTCTCCACATTCTCCTTACATCCTCTCTTCTTTCGCGTCCTTCTCGTCCCCTGTTTACTCCTCCTGCCTCCCCCTCCTTTTCCAAGATAACGGCAACGCAATCCTTTTTCCCCGACCTGGCGGAGGGGTTCCCGTTCAGTGTCCCCCTGGGGGGGGTCTGGGGGGGGAACCCCCGGGACAGGGCCCCGGCCACGCGCAGAACGCCGGCGGAAGTCGGCGGAAGTCGGCGGAAGACGGCCGCTCGACGGCCGCTCACGGCCCGATTTCTGCATACGCTCTTCCAGGAGGCACGGACGGCCGCAAGATGGCCCACAAGATGGACCAAGCAGGCTTCCAGTCGCCGAAACAGCGGCACAAGACGCCCAGGATGGCGTCCCGACGACCCAGGGAGCCCCACAGACGCCACGAGAGGCCTCCAATAGGCCCTTCAGGAGAGCCCGTAGCGTCCAAAATCATAGTTTTTTCCTCAGGTATTTGAAGGTTTTGGGGGTTTTCGTCTTTTCGGCTTCCCGCCTTTCCAAGACAGCCCAAGAGGCCCCAAAGTTCGCCCCAAGACGCCCTGAGAGACTGCCAAGAGAGCGCCCAGACGGCCGAATAGGCCCTCAAGACGACCCAAGAGGCCTCCAAGACGGTCTCAGAAGAGCCCCAGGGACGCCCCAAGAGCGCCCCCGGAGCGGAGACAGCGGCCCATTTTCAGGGTTCTCTGCCCCAGGAACCGTCAAGAGGCCCCAAGAGGCGCCCATGAGGCCCCCAAGGAGCCCCAAGAAGCCTCAGGAGGCCTCCAGGAAGCCCCCAGGAGCGCCCAAGAGGGCCCCAGGACTGCCCCAACAAAGCCCCAGGACGGCTGGAGGCGCCTCGACACAGCGTCACAGCGGCAAACGGCGCAAGAGGCCCCCAAGAGTGCCCAAAGGAACCCCAAGAAGCCTCAAGACCCCAGTAGCACCCAAGAGGGCCCCAGGACTCCCCCAACCGAGCCCCAGGACGGCTGGAGGCGCCTCGACACAGCGTCACAGCGGCAAACGGACAACACGGGAACCCATCCTCTGCTGGTCTCGCATGGACACGTGCTGAGCTCGCCTCCGGACTCGCATGGTCGCGTGTTGCGCTCACCTCCAAGACGCACCGTCGTTTCTTCCGCCACCTTTCTCTCTGAACATCTTTGGCACAGGAACCCCAAGCGACCTTTCAGATCCCCACATCGCTCCCCAGGAAATCCCCCGAAGGCCTCAACACGGCCGCATACGGCCCCCGAAAACCGCAAGTCGGCCGATCCTGTGAACCCGCGCCCCCCCTTCGCTGTGGCTCGCATGGAGACTTGCTGAGCTCACGCAACTTGTCCAATCCTGGCTCCCCCCAGGAGCCTCCAGAGCCTCAAGAGTCCTCTAACTCCCACTCCTCCCTCGCCATGTCAACCCGCGACTCCCCTCCTCCCGGTGGCTGGCATGGAAGCGTGCTGAGCTCACCTCGTGACTCGCATGGTAGCGTGCTGAGCTCGCCTCCAAGACGCATCATCATTTCTTCCGCCGCTTGTTTTTGAGCACAGGCCTCACACTCCCTCTGCCCGCTCGCCATGTCCAAACGCGACACCCCTCCTCCCAGTGGCTCGCATGGAAACGTGCTGAACTCACTTCGTGGCTCGCATGGTCGCGTGCTGAGCTCACCTCCAAGACGCCCCACAATTTTCCGCCGCCTTCCTTTGTGGACTGCTGTGCATGAGTTCCCCAACTGGGCCCTCGTGCCCCCAGGAGGCTCCACCACCGCCGCAGACGTCCTCAGCACAGCTGTCGTAACCCGAGAGCCTCTGGGAGCCTCCAGAGCCCCCAAACTCAATGCTCTCGCCCGTCCTGTCAACCCGCGCCCCCCCCCTTCGCTGTGTCTCGCGTGGAGACGTGCTGAGCTCACCTCCTGACTCGCATGGCCGCGTGCTGAGCTCACCTCCAAAGCACACTGCGGTTCTTCGACGACCACTTCCTCCGGACGACTCTGACAGGGCAACCCCAAGCGAGCTCTCTGATTGCCAGAAAGCCCCCCAGGAAGCCTTCAGGAGGGCCCACGACGGCTGCAAACGACCCCCGAGGCCGCAACTTCTCCACTCCTGGCTCTTACAGCCCGACACATCGCCGACACAACCTGCGACGATGCCCGAGGTGCCCCAGGAGCCTCGAGAGCCTCATGAGCCCTCCAACTCCCACTTCTCGCTCGCCATGTGAACCCGCGCCCCACCTGCTCCTGGTGGCTCGCATGGACACGTGCTGAGTTCACCTGGACACGTGCTCGGTCTGGGGGGGAACCCCCCAGGACAGGGCCCTGGACACCCGCAGAACGCCAGCGGAAGACGGCCGTATTTCTGCAGACGCGCTTCCGGGAGGCACGGGCGGCTCCAAGAGAGTCCGCAAGATGACCCACGAGGGTAATGAGTCGCCGACTGAGCGGTCAAGACAGCCCAAGATGGGCCCAAGATGGCCCAAGAGGCGGCCAAGACGCCCCAAGAGGCCTCCAATTAGCCGCCCAAGAGAGCCCCAAGAGGTGAAAATCAACAATTTTACTAAGGTTTCTGAAGGATTTTGGACTTCGCGCCTTTTCGGCTTTCGGACGCTCCAAGACGGCCCATGAAGCTCCAAGATTGCCCCAAGACGGCCCAAGAGGCCCCCAAGACTTGAGGGCCCCAAGACTGCCCAAGAGGGCCCCAAGGCGGCCCAAGAAGCGCCCAAGACGGTCCAAGAGGGCCCCAAGACGGCACCAAGAGGGGCCCAAAAGCGGGACCAGGAACCGACAATTCGAGCCTTCTTCCTCAAGAGAGCCCAGGATGCCCCAAGAGGCCCCCAAGAGGCCCCAAGAAGCGCCCAAGAGGCCCCCAAGAGGCCCCAATAGGCGTCCAAAAAGACCAAATGATGCCCCAAAACTACCCCCAAGGGGCTTCAAAACAGTTTCCCAGAAGCCCCCAAAAGACCAACCACGATTATACATATTTCTTCGTCGGACGTCTCCCCCGTCGTCTAATCAAGCCCACAGCAGGCCACTCCTTCCTTGTCCCTGCCGCTCTCACCAATCATCCCCACCTCCATTTTCAGGTCGGGGTTCGTGGCAATATCAGGTTTTCCACGTTATGCTCCCCGACTTCTCTGATCAAGGCAACTCGCCAGGGCAAAGTTGCTGGACGGGCTGGTGTGGATGCGCGGGGCTTGTTGAAGAGGTCGTTGCGGGCTCAGACGGCATGCAAAAATCAGCCGCCGCGCTTGTGCGGCATTGGTTGATTCAGTGAACGCGGTTTGGGTCGCGCGTGGGTCGCGGGCTCTCCACCTCCACCTGGAAGGAATGCAAAAGCCTCCCGCTGCAGGCGCCGGAAAATTTGGTTTGTACACTGAACGTGGAATGGGTCGCGGGTGGGCCGCGGGTTCTCCACTGGGAGCGAACGCAAAAGATGCCCATCGCAGGCGCCGAAAAATTTGGTTTGTACCCTGAACGTGGTCGCGGGTGGGGCGCGGGCTTTCCACTTGAAACAAATGCAAAAGATGCCCGCCGCAGGCGCCAAAAAATGTGGTTTGCACCCTGAACGTGTTTTGGGTCGCGAGTTGGTCGCGGGGTGGGTCGCGGGCTCACCACCTCGAAGGAATGCAAAAAAAGCCCGCCGCAGGCGCCGAAAATGGTGGTTTGTACCTTGAACGTGGTTTGGGTCGAAGGTGGGTCGGGGGTGGGTCGCGGGGTGGGTCGCGGGTCGCGGGTGGGTCGCGGGTGGGTCGCGGGTGGGTCGCGGGGTGGGCCGCGGGCGGGTCGCGGGGTGGGTCGCGGGTGGGTCGCGGGTGGGTCGCGGGGTGGGTCGCGGGGTGGGTCGCGGGTGGGTCGCGGGTGGGTCGCGGGTGGGTCGCGGGTGGGTCGCGGGTGGGTCGCGGGGTGGGTCGCGGGGTGGGTCGCGGGGTGGGTCGCGGGTGGGTCGCGGGTGGGTCGCGGGTGGGTCGCGGGGTGGGTCGCGGGGTGGGTCGCGGGTGGGTCGCGGGGCGGGTTGTGGGTGGGACGACGACAACAAACAACAACAAACAACAACAAACAACAACAACGAGAATCCGCACCGCGGAATCCCACTTCAGCCACGCACCCAGGGACAGTGAATGACCGTTCGGCCCCCTCACTCTGATAACATTTCGCATTTATATATATATACACATAATAATATAAATAAGTGCATCAATACATTTATATATAGATATAGATATGTATATACGCGGTGTCAGCAGGCATCAGGGATATCGGAAAAAAGAGCCCGTCGCCCGCCCAGGCCTCGAGGTCCCCTTGCTGAAGCAAGCGATGATTCATTGCTTCGCCAGGGAAGCGTCCGGAACACGGCGCATGGCGCAAAACGCCAATGCAATCTTGACACACACACACACACGCATATGTGTGTGTGTGAATTACGTGTTCCCCACAGCGTTTGCACTGATAAGTTCGCGCGTGCCTTCTCGTGTCGCCCCGGCGGCCTCGTTCCTGGCCGTCGTTGCACCATGTTTCCGAGTGGCATGCCCGTGTGCCATCTTCGCGACCCCGTCGCCGCCGCCCCGTTGACCCCCCCGTTGCATTGCAATCGCATTGCGTTGCAATCGCAATGCGAATTCACTTGCATTGCGTTACGATCGCGGTGCGTTACTGTGAATCGCTTTGCAAGCGCATCGCGTTGTAATGGCATTACGTTGAAACACAATCACACTGCAATGGCTTGAGTTGCCTTACATTGTTTTGCATTGCGTCGCTTTGCATCGCAGTGCATTGCTTCGCATGGCTTCGCATTGCGTTGCATTGTTTTGCATTGCTTTGCATTTCTTTGCATTGCATTGTGATTATGTTGTTTTGCATCGGTTTGCATTGCATCGCACTGCTTTGCATGGCGTTGCATCGCGTTGCGCTGCTGTTCACTGCTGTTCATCGTTTAGCATTGATTTGCATTGTTTCGCATTGCTTTGCATGGTTCTGCACCGCATAGATAGATTGCGCCACATGGGTGGACCATCTAGATTGCACCACCTACCTTGCGCCGCATAGATTGCAGGACAGACGTACAGTTTGTGTTTAGGGTCGGCTAACAGATGTACAGTACAAATGGAAATAAAGAGCGAGGCATCGATAATATAAATAATCGAGAAACGTGTGGAGAGAAGGAGTGACACAGAGGGAAAGAGAGAGAGGAAGGGACAGATAAAGATATATATAGAGAGAGAGAGAGAGAAAAAAAAAAAGAAAAGAGCGAGATAGTGAGATAGTGAGAGCGACAGAAGCGAGACAGAGAGAGAGAGAGAGGCGCCACACCCCGCACCCCCGATTTCAGAGTTCAGATTCGCGCGTAGGCCGTTTCTCGCAACAGTGCGAGTTCTGTTCGGGACGTATTACCTTGAAATTAGGGTCCGGGGCTGAGGCCCGCTTCGGTATATTTTTGAGGCGGTTGTTTGTCCTGTCGAGCGTTTTAGTGTTTCCCAGAGGCGGCGCCGCCCCCTCTGATCAACGCGCGTGCGCGCTGCGTCTTCACAAGAACGTCCTGCAGGCCCTTTCTGCAGCCCTGGAGATACGCAGAGGCCCAAAGATCGGAGGTTGATAGACCTCCTACCCTGACAGGTCGATTAGCGAATTGGCCGTTGTCGGTTCGCGAGAGGGCGTCGCGGCCGTCATTTTTGCGGGTCCAGGTCCGTCGGTTTCGGTCCCAGGCCGTTTTCACTAAAGAGTGGTTTATCAAAGGGAGGTTTGTCCACGGTCGATCGGAGGCTCCCCGTCGGAGGGCCCTCGGAGGTTCTCGGAGGAGGCTCTCGGAGGGCCCTCGGAGGCCATCGAAGGGCCCCACGGAGGACCCTCGGCGGCCCGGGGGGCACCCGCCCGCCGGCCCTTCTCGGAGGCTCTCGGAGGAGGCTCTCGGAGGCCCTTCTGGGAGGCCCTCCTCGCAGAGGCCGTCGGAGGCTTGCGCGAAGGCTTTGGGGGCTGCGGGGCTTCCCGAGACGTTTGAGTTTTGCAGTGCGGAGTCCTTGGGAGTGCGGACGCCTTTCCCCGGGGGGGCGGCGTCTCATCCCGAGTCGCATTTCGAAGGTCCCGGGGCCCGGCTTGTGGAAGCCCTCCACCGGCCGAAAACGGTGGAGCTTTTTCAGCTCAGGCCCAGGGCACCCTGTTTGAGAAGTGGGTGAAGTGGACGAACCGATTGGAAATTGCAGAAACATCATTACGACGGTAGGGCCCCACATGACAATCCGTTTAGCTTGAAAGAGAGTGGTCAACATCATCGTCCTTATGTTTGTGGTTGAGGTGGTTGTGGAGGCCCCCCTCTTGCGTCCTGCAGCCTCCTCATCCTCCTCATCTCGCCTCCACCTGCCTCCTCCCCATCCTGCCTTCTCCTCCCCCTGCCTCCTCCTGCCTCCGACTCCGGTTTCCTACTCTTCCTGCCTTTTCCTCATGGTTCCTCCTTGTGCTCCCCTCATGCCGCTTCTTTCTGCCTCTTACTCCTCTTGGCTCGTCCTCCTCATCCACATCATCGATCAGCATCATCATCATCATCATCATCATCATCATCATCATCATCATCATCATCATCATTATTATCATCAGCAGCATCAGCATCATCATCATCATCATCATTATCATCATCATCATCGTCATCATCATCGTCATCGTCAGCATCATCATCATCATCATCATCATCATCATCATCATCATCATCATCATCATCATCATGATCATCATCATCCTGACTGCTCCTGCCTCCTCTTCCCTCCCTCCCTCTGCCTCCTCCTCATCATCATTCTGCGGCCTCCTGCCTCATCATTTTCATCGTGCCTTCTCTTCCTTCGCCTGCTCATGTTCCTGCCTCCTTTCTCCTCGTGCCTTCTCATCATCTTGACTCCTCCGCTGGTGCGTGGAGCAAGCCGCTCAGACGCCTCAGTGCCTGATGAAGCCATAGCAAGCCATTGGTCGGATTACCAGCATTAGGTGAGGGGCCCTGCGGGTGGGGGGGGTCTCCCGCTCGAAGCGTCCTCGCAATCCGCCTACAGACGAGGCTCCCTCTTGGGACTTCCTCAACATACAGGCCTCAGGAGCCCAACAGTGTCGACAGCTGATCATAAGGTTTGGATGACCCCTTCGGATTGAAAGCACAATGGTGGGGACTCCATCGGGAGGACCTCTTGCTCGACGCTTTCCCACAATTAACTCACACGCGAGGCTCTCGATTGAGACTTCTTCTATGTTCGGGCCTCCGAACCCCAGGCGTGACGCAAGCTGCAGGGGTTGGATGAGCCCCTGGGGGGGGATAGAAATGTCCAGTCGAGACCTCATAGAGGGGCGCTCCCGCTCTAGACTTCCTCGATCTTGATAGATTCATGTGTGAGCGTTAGCGTGTAGGCTGGTGGTGATGGTGGTGATGCTGATGCGAGTGTACTAGCGCGCATGGTTATGATGATGACGGAAGTACAAGGAAGGGCACGGGAGTGGAGGTGAGGGTGTGTTCTTGCGCGGGGGTGCCCAGAACAATTAGCCTGGCGAAGGACCAACCATATGCAGCGTTGCACACCGCAGTCTTGAGTCTTATCTTCGGTGGAGCTCCCTAGGGGGCCACGAAACGTGTGAGGGGTATGCCGAAATCAGTGTGGCGGACGTATGTGGACGGTGCCACTAGGCTTTGGGTGGAGTTCCCCATTGGGCCACGAAACGTGAGGGGTGTGCAGAAATGGTTGTGGCGGGCTCATGTGGGCGGTGCTATTTGGGCCTTGGGTGGAGCTCCCTATTGGGCCACGAAGCGTGTGAGAGGTGTGCCGAAATGGGTATGGTGACGCATGTGGACGGTGCCTCTTGGGCTTTCGGTGGAGCTCCTTACGCGGCCACGAAGCGTGTGGGGGGTGTGCCGAAACGGGTGGACGCATGGGGACGGTGCCCCTGGTGTTTTCGGTGGAGCTCCTTGTGGGGCCACGAAACGTGTGAGGGTTGTGCCGAAATGGGTGTGGCGGATGCATGTGGACGGTGCCATTGGGGTCTTAGGTGGAGCTCCCTATGGGGCCACGAAGCGTGTGAGGGGTGTGCTGAAAAGGGTGTGGTGGACGCATGTGGACGGTGCCACTGGGGCCTTGCGTGGAGCTCCTTATGGGGCCACGAACCGTGTGAGGGGTGTGCCGAAAAGGGTGTGACGGACGCATGTGGACGGTGCCTTTTGGGCCTTGGGTGGAGTTCTCTGTAGGGCCACGAAACGTGAGGGGTGTGCCGAAATGGGTGTGGCGGGCGCATGTGGACGGTGCCATTGGGGCCTTGGGTGGAGCTCCTTATGGGGCCACGAAACGGGTGAGGGGTGCGATGATGGTGATGATGACGATGATGATGTTGATGATGATCACGATGATGGCGATGATGGCAACGATGATGATGTTCATGATGATCATGACGATGGTGGTGATGACGAAGATAACGATGATAATGATGATGATGATGATGATGATGATGATGATGATGCCGATCATGATGATGATGATGATGATGCCGATCATGCTGATGATGGTGATGCTGGTGATGATGATGCTGATGATGATGATGCTGGTGCTGATGCTGATGCTGCTGATGATGATGATGATGATGATGGCGATGCTGCTGATGATGATTATGATGATGATGATGATGATGATGATGATGATGATGATGATGATGATGATGATGATGATGAGAGGAGGATGGAGGGGGCAGCGGGAGGAGGAACGCGGGGCACCATGTCTTCGAAACGAAGACCCAACATCACAGGATGGTTGGGAAAAACAAGCACGAACCCATCTGAAGATGTGGGGAGTAAGCGCTCAAAGGCCCGCGCAGATGTCTTGCATCTGTGTTGGACCCTTCCTGGCGGCGCCTCTGGCGTCGCCCTTGGCGCCCAGACCAAGAAGTCCGCGCGCACCATCGAACGCTCGTGCTCATGCCGTCTGTGCTGTTGCAGTCTTCCTGGAGTGGAGAAGTGGATGAAGCTTGCACGTGGGTTGGGGGAATGTACATACGCATGTGCACGCGGCTGGTGTTACACACCAGCGTTGGGGCGCCTCAAGATTCCCACAGCTTGCAAGTGGGTTTGGGGGAATTGCATCCGCATGTGCACGCGGCTGGCGTTGTACACCCGCCTTCGAGGCGCCTCGAGATTGCCCTGGGAATGGGAAGATTGACCCAAGAGATCCAGAGAACTTGCAGGACAGAAGCCTGCAGGATCTGACGGGGGACGCCACGTTAGACAGCCGTGCCAGTGCACTGTCGGGGGTGAAGGCCGTGTTGTGCAAGCAAGGCTGTGTGAACTCCAGGTGCCAGCGGTGGGGTGTAGGCTGTGTGGCGTTAGCGATGCCGCGTCGCCCATGCGGCGTGAGCTATGTGGTGTAGGTTGCGTGGTGAAGGTTACGTCGTGCACAGGGCCGTTTGTAATACATGCTCCGCGTGCGGGTTATGTATTAAGAATGCAGGGATTCAGCATCAAGAACAACGATGAGTTCATGCATACATTCATTCATAAGTTAACCATGTATTAAAGACCCCATATGTTTAGAAATCCGATGTACAAAAAAAAACTGCCCTGCATGTGGTGTGAGCGATGCCGCGTCGCCCGTGCGGCGTGAGCTCTGTGGTGCAGGCCGCGTGGCGAGGGTCACGCCGTGCACGCTCAGAGCACGAGGCGCCGCGCCCACGAGCTGGCACGGGCGGCGGCATGGCGCAAGACCTCGGGAAACACTCCCAAGCGCACGGGGCGCCACGTCCTCGTCCTCCTCCTCCTCCTCCTCGTCCTCCTCCTCCTCCTCCTCCCTCCTCCCTCCTCCTCCTTTTCCTCCTCCTCCTCCTCCTCGTCCTCCTCCTCGTCCTCCTCGTCCTCCTCCTCCTCCTCCCTCCTCCTCCTCCTCCTCCTCCTCCTCCTCCTCGTCCTCCTCCTCATCCTCCTCCTCCTCCTCCAGGGCGCCCACGAGGCGGCCACGAGGCGGCAGCGTGGCGCAGCCTCGGCATGCCCCCCAGCGCACGGGGCGCTCGCGAGGCGCCCACGAGGGGGCAGGGGCGGCACCGTGGCGAACACCCGCGGTGTCCAAGCGAGCATTTCACAGAACAGAGCTCGTCTCTGCAGCCACTCTTGGCCCATAATGAATTTAAGGCAGCTGATGCTATCCTTGTCCAGGAAACTCACCTTCATGGCCACCGATGTACGGAGTCTGAAGCGGAGTTGGGCAAACTTGATTGGTGTGCTCGCTCTTCTCCCGCTTATGATGTGGTCGAGGGTAATCAAGGGCATGGAGGCCTCATCACCATGTGTCCCAGGATGCACGGCATTGCGAAGTTAGAGACTATGTCCACAGAGGTCTTTGTCCCTGGTAGAGTATCTATGATGTGTCATTCTGGTTTTGCCAAGCATGGGGTCCTAGTTGTGAACATGTACCTCATCAGCGGTGAAGGCATGAGCGCTTCGAACTTTCAGATTCTGATGAAGCTGGCTGGGCGCCTTCGAGGAGCCAGTATGCCGTACATTATTGGGGGTGATTTCAACTGTACACCAGATGATGTGCGCGAGTCGGGGATTTTGAAGTACTTCGAAGCTGACATGCTTCATTCTACTGTGGCTACTTTCTCCAGTGGTCGAACGATTGATTTCTTCGTTGTGTCGAATCAGCTGGTGGTTGAAAAGGTAGAGGCGTTGGTGGACATTCAGATAAGTACGCACTCGCACGTGCCTGTTCAGTTGCAGATTTCGAGTGATGCAGTGAGGCCGCGTGTGTGCATTGTTCCTGTGCCTCGTGCTTTTCCTGTTGACCGCCCCATTGGTTGCCAGCGTGGAGAGCATGATAGTGCTTGGGCGGATATCGGGCAGAAGCTGGAAGCTCAGTTGATTGAGTGCAAGCATAACGGATCCCCAGCGGGCACTTCGACCCGCCATGAGCTGTCGTATGCATGGAATCGTTTTCTTCGGCAGGCAGAGTTTGAGTTGTGTGACGTATATGATGTTGCAGGAGAAGAAGCGCATAAATAACAGGGTCGAGATCAGCCACTATGTCCCAAGTGGGTCTCTGTGCTGGCGCCGAAGGTCCCCAAGTTCCCAAAAGCGTCTCCTGAAGCTTTGGCTGCGGGCGGTCTCGGCCAGCTTGCACTTTGCGTCCTGCTCTGCTCAGCCGCTCACTCGAGTCACCGCCTTGCGTGCCCTTGCACGTAAGCAGGCAGCGGCGCCTGCTAGTGTGCAGACAGGAGCAGGACCTGCTGGCGAATGGTGGGGGTTTTTCCAGTCCTTCGGGGCCGAGTTCTGGGATTGCGAGATCCTCGGGGCCCTGGCGAACATTGCTAAGAAGGTGGCCCTCAAGCTGGCCAAAAGTGATGAACACCAACGCCAAGCTAAGTTTCGAGCCTGGGTGGGCGAGCAAGCTGTCGGAGGGGCTGGAGGGCCCCACAGAATCACGAAGCTCCCTGTGGGCTTTCATGACACCAGCACTGAGTCGTTGTTTCGACCTCGGGATCGGCAGCAGCAGGTGGATAAGATACAGGAGGAGTGGAGCAGGTGGTGGAGGGTCGGAGAGTGGCACAAGGGCCTCAGGTGGCCTGAGGATCTTGGAACTCGCCCTGAGCGTCCAAGTGTCGAACATATTCGTAAAGTTTCGAACACCTTTCCCAAGCGCGCTGGCATGAGTTTCTGCATGATTAGGCCGCAGCAGTTGTCCATGTTGTGCGATCCTGCTCTGGAAGTGTTTATTGCCATCCTGACGGCCGTCGAGGCGTCGGCCGAGTGGCCGAAGTTTGCCTCGAAGATCGCCTGCCTGTCCAAGCGCCTGGGCGGTGTGCGCCCCATAGCACTAATTAATGTGCTGGCTCGGGTTCAGGCTCGTCTCCGCCGACCGATAGCTCGAGAGTGGGAGCCCCGCAATGATCGATCGTATTTCTGGGCCTCCAGGGGGAGATCGTGCGATCGAGCCGTCTGGCAGCAGGCGGCCTGGTCGGAATATGTGACTACTGAGGCTAAAGGCTCCACTAAGGGAATATGGGTCTCTGGCATGGTTCTCTTGGATTTGATGAATGCTTTTGGGCAAGTGGAACGTCATTGGCTCTTGGAGGCGGCAGTGGCTACTGGATTCCCTCTCTGGCAGCTCAAGTTGAATGTTGAGCTTTATCGTGCTGAGCGATTTTGTTGCTTGGGCCAAGTTGTCTCGTCGCCGTTGGTGGTCGAGCAGACCATTCCACCAGGGGATGGCTGGGCCACTTGCATGCTCGAGTTGATTTTGATTCGGCCGCTTGACGCTATGTACAGAATGCATCGAACAGTCGTTCCCACCGCCGTTGTCGACGATTTGCTATTGCACAGGATTGGCACGCAATCTCGAGTCACGCGTGAACTGGTCCAGGCGTCGATAGATCTCCAGGAGGCTCCCGCTGCAGTAGACCTGCGCGTGCATGTTGACAAGTCACGTGTTTTGTGCAATGAGCAGTGTGTGCGTGACGAGATTGCACGACGTCTGAATGCAAAAATGGGCACGATAGCCACGCCGCATGAGCGTAATCTTGGTATTGACATCTCTTGTGGGCGGCGTGTCGGGCATGCAGTACGCAAATCACGGCTTCTGGGCGCTCGTCAGCGCCTGAGGCGGATTGGCCCCATTCGCACTGGACAGAAGAAGCGGCTCGGAGTTCGGAAGGTTGCGCGTTCAGGTTTGGAGGCGAGTATGTCGCATGGGATGAACGTCACGGGGTGCTCGACATCGAACATTGAGACCATGCGTAGCACTGCCTTTGCGTGTCTCATTGGGGCCACCGTTGGGAAGTCCCGCACTTTAGCTTTGATGTGCGAGAAGGATGCCGGCCCGATCCTTCGAGCTACTCTGTTGCCTGTGCTCACGCTCTGCCGAGCTATATGGGAGGGGTGGGTGCCGAGGCATGTGGTGCGGGATGGGCTGGAAGGAAGTTCGTCGGTCTCTCTTTGGACCCAAGTTTCAGGTCCGTTCAGTGCATGTAGGCTGTCGCTAGCGCGTGTCGGATGGTCGATCCGTTCTGCTTTTCAGTGGACCACGCACGAAGGCTTAGACCTTGACATCAGTGTGCTCTGTCCTCGCGTGATTCGTCATTATCTAGTCAGGCCGCCACGGCCTGGCAGTGGCGACAGGTGGCGAAGCACGATGATTTGCAACATTTGGAGTTTGGTGTTGTTTGGCTGTCCCTGGTCCAAGCTGTCTCTAGCGGACGGCCTCGCTGTGTGCAAAATCGGGACCTTCCGACCCTGGGGCCCGAGGCGCGTGCGTACCTTCGTTCGTGCATTGTTGGAGGGCAATGGCCCATGGTCAGGCAGTTTGAAGCTAGGAAAGCACTGAGCAACGAGTGCCTCATTTGTCGCAAACCTGGTACTCTTGTTCACAGGGATTTTGAGTGTGATTTGTGTCAGGAGCTGCCTTGCCCTGCTGCGTTTACTCCGCTGGTTCAGGCTCAGGATCGGTCCCAGGTCCGTGTGCTCCTGGAAAGGGCGCTCTGGCCCATCCCGCGGACCTCGTGGAGGGCCCCTGCCCAGGACACGGTGGTCTGGCATCAACATGCGGGGCCTGGGGTCCTTGTCGCCAAGGAAGCCTACCTGGGCGGTTCGGCCTTTGAAGGCCAGTGGAGTTGTTTGAGTTGTACAGGCTGGGCCGTCGTTACTCTGCGTGATGAGGCCCCTCTCGGTGTAGTCGACATAGTGTACTGCACGCGTTCGCAGTCTGTGTTTGATACCGACGGGGCCGAATTGGAGGCCCTGATATTTTTGATCCAGAATTCGTTGCCTCCAGTCACGGCTGTTACTGATTCGGATTCTGTGTTTCGTGGAGTGACCGAGAGAGGAGAAGAGGCCACCGCGGCCTATTCCTCGGCCTGGGCTTGCCTCTGGCGGGTCTTCTGGAAGGCCCTGGCTGAGTTCGGTGGCCTTTGCGAGGCTGGCCTTTCGGCGCGTAAAGTCAAGAGTCACTGCGCGATTGCCGACGTGAATGCGGGCCGCGTCACACGTCGTGACCGTTTTGGCAACTTCCACGCCGACGTCTGGGCGAAGTTTGGAGGCCAGCTTGCGCGTGCGCCTGTAGAGGATAGGATGCGCATGCAGCAGGCTGAGCAGTTTGTGGAGCAGGTTAGTCACAGGATTGGGGAGGTTGGCGCGCATGTAGACGGGCGTGACACGACGCACGTGACGCGCCGCACGCGTGTCAGCGCGCCCCCGGTCATCCCTGCCCAGCTGCCTCATGATTTAAGAGGGCCGTCAAGGCGACCCTGGTGTGCTCGCTGCAGAGCCGCGGCCCCCGTGTCCGAGGTTTGCCCTGGATCGATCTCGACGCGCGCGCGCGCGATGCCAATGAGCGCTTGCACGTGCAGGGTTTGAAGGTGCATCGTTTAGTCGTTTTTAGGGTTGAGGAGTCCCTTCAGGATGCGGCCCATCCCGTTGTTGCGTGTACGCTCTGTGGTGCTCACAGTTCGAAGCAACTCAAGAGATTCCTCGCCCCGTGTTGCAAGCCTGGAGAGTGGGGTAGGAGGGCCGTCCGAAGGATGTGCCAAGGCTACCTACCAGGTGTAGCTGGGAAAGTTCCAGCTGTTGTTGTTCCCCTTGCGTAGGGACTTCCCGCGTGGACAGTTGTGCCCTCAGAGGGGGGCTCCACGGCTTCGGGAAGAAAGAAGAAGAGGAGGAGGAGGGGGAGGGGGAGGAGGGGGAGTAGCCCCCGAGGACAATGAGGATGATGTAGGAGGATCGTAGGAGGTGGGGGTGTGCGGAGGGGTCGTGACAATGAGGGGGGAAGGGGTATAAATGGCGGCAATCTCATCAAGATGCAGTCAACAACCCTAATAAGGACGCGCGACTTTGCTCAGGGTACCCTTGCGTCCTTGCTCTTCCTTGCTCTTGCGTCCTTGGGGTTTTCGTCGCCCGCCGCCACAAAAATCCCAACTTCGGCTTCCAAGGGTCTTGCGTCCTTACCGCGCGTCCTTATTAGGGCTTTTGACTGCAGTTGCAAGCCGTGTGCTTTGAAAGCAGGGTGGAGAGCGTCATTGGCCACTTGCTTGACTGAGCCAGTGTTCTGTTTCACCACAAAGTTCGGGGGGGAGTCAGCAGACCACCAGACCGATCCTGGTCAGTCACATCCTGGGCCCAGGATCGATGTATCTGCCTGCATGCCAACGTGCCTCTGGAGGGCGCGCGCACAATGGGGTGGCGCGAGGGGGGCGTCAGAGGGCAGGGAGGCTTCATGGACGCACTGCCGGCTTTTGAGGTGCCTTCGTGCAAGCCCCTGGGCCCCTCCGAAAAGGCCTAAGGCCTAAGCCCTCCAAGGACCTTCCACTGCCGCCTCGGAAGGCCGCCCCCCTCGCAGCAACCCGCCGAGTGTGCCGCCGAACCGGTGCCTCACAACGCCCGGGGGCCCGAGGCGGGCGCCTGGAGGCCAGGCTCGGCGGCAGAGCACGGCCGCCGCGCTTCTCTGCGCCTCGCGGCGAGGGAGGCCGGGGCGGCCGTTCGCTGCGCGCGCCCTGCTCGTGGCAGCCGGTGGCCTGCTCGGCTGGGGCCATGGCCTCGTCTGCCGCGGGGCCCCGGCGGTGAGAGGCCCCTCCGCTGGGGGCCTCTCGGCGCACGCCCGCGCTGCTCCGCTCTATGCCTGGCCTCCTGCCCTCCTCGCGCTCCTGCCCCCCTGCCGTCCTCCTCCTGCCCTCTCCGGTCCATCCGTGGCGGAGCGCCCTGGCTAGCCGATGGCCCTGCCAAAGAATGGTCTGAGAACCTGTCGTGGTTTCCGCGAAGTGCTCTTGGGACATTTCTGGCGGAATCAGTCCTGTTTTATCACATCGGGCTTATGTTCTAAGAACCTTGTTTTTGTTCTTAGAACATGTTTGGGTTCAAAGAGCATGTCGTGGTAGGACTATAGGAATGTCGGGACGGTCGGTCCCTGCTCAGTCCTGTCCGCCCGTTCGCCCGTTTTTCTCCCGTCCTCCTGTCCTTCTCCGCTCGTTCCTCCTCCTCCCTGTTGCACCCCCACGCGTGTCGGTAGGGCGGGCCGGGCGCCGGGCGTTTCGCCTGAGACCTTCTCGCCACTTGCGATCCTGAAGTTTAAAATTTGGGAGGCGGTTGTTTTTTCCCCGACCTTGCGGAGGGCTTCCCGTTGTGTGTTCCCCTTGGGGGGGTCTGGGGAGATACTCCCGGGACCCGCCCCCGGCCACGGAACGCACGCCGGCGGAAGCCGGCGGAAGCCGGCCCCATTTCGGCAGGCGCGCTTCCGTGCGGCACGGGCGGCCCCAAGATGATCCGTAAGATGGTCCAAGAGGACCCAGGGTTGCCAGCAGGTCGATCCAGGCTGTCCAAGATCGCGTCCAGACGGCCCAGGGACTCGATCGAGGAATTCAAACCTCGAGCCTCAAGCGCGGAACCAGGATCTTCGAGTCAGCTCGATGCACTTCGCAGGAGAATGCCGTCCGGGCGTTTTGGGGGCTCTTTTGGGCCGTCCTGCGGCCCACTTGGGCCGTCCTGGGGCCTTTTTGGGCCGTCTTGGGGAGCTGGGGCCCGCCAGATGTGTTCTGAAGCCATCTAGGGCTGGCTCTCTAGTGGCCTTTTTGGGGGTCTCCCATAGTTTTCGTGGGTCTCTCGTGGGAGTGTTCTGGGGGCATCTTGGGCTTCTTGTGGTCAGTCTCGGGGCTCTCTGGGGCAGTCTTGGGGCCCCTTTTGGGTCGTTTTCAAACCCTCTGGGGGACCTCTTGGGCCGTCTTGGGGCGATATCGGGGGCCCATAGGGCCTTCTTGGAGGCTGCGAAGACCCCAAGAAGGGATATGCTAAACATATACATTTCCCAAAGGGAATGGGGCGATGTTTGCTTCTTCGGGGCTCTCTTAACGCCCTCTTGGGGCGTCTTGGGGGCCTCTTCGGCCGTTGTTCAGACCATTGAGGTTCCTCGTGGAGCGCTCTTGTGCTGTCTGGGTCTCTCGTGCGCCTTTCCGATGACCCTTCTGATCGCCTTGAGTCTGCTCGCAAGGCCCGGCAACGCGCTCTGGGAGGCCCAGAAGGGCCAGCTGCCAAGGGCGTCCAGGGGGCGTCGAGACGTCCGAAAGGGCGTCCGGGGCACCCCTGTGGAGGGGGTCCGGTTTGGTTTAGGGGTGGGGGGTGGGGGGGGGTTCTGGGTGATGAAAATCGGTGAGTAGGAATAGAGATATGCTCTTCCAGGGCCCTGCAACACCGTTGATGTGTCCTGGGTGTACCCTGCATCTGCTCCCCCCCCCGTGCCCCACTTGCGCTCGTGCCTCCTTCGCTCCGGCCTCATCCTGTCCAGGCACAAGTGGTGGGGGAGGCGCGGTCCTGTGGGCCCCCCCTCGAGGGGCCCCGTGGGCTTCGGTGCCCTTTCTCGGAGGGTCGTCGGCGCGATGCTCTCCCCCAAAAAGGGGGGGGGGAGGAAGCGCAGCTTCCCCAGCTGGCTGGTCGTTTCCTTCTATGCCCCTTCCCTTCCCCCCCCCCTCCCCTCTTTGCCTGTCCTCCTCCCCCTCCCCCCTTGCCTGTCCCTCCCCCCCTTGCCTGTCCCCCTCCCCCCCCCCCCCCTCCCCCCTTGCCTGTGCTCCTCCCCCTCCTCCCTCCGCCTCCGACCCCCTGCCTGGCCTCGCCGCGGTCAGTTTTCAGGGCTTCCGCCTCGTCGGCCGTGCTGTCTCCTCTTTGTCTGGGCCCTGGCCCCCGCGCGCGGGCCACAAAACGCTTCGAGTCTCGGGTTCTGAGTCCTCCATTCGGGCCGGCCGGGCGAAGGGGGGGGGATTGGGAAAGGGGGGGTTACGAAATTTGCTGCATGCAGCTGGTTTCGGCCTCACCGAGGGGCCCATTCCTCGATACATAGCCGCCTAGGACGCCGGGAGGCGCCGGGAAAATCAGCTACGTGAGCTGATTCTCAAACCCCCCCATTGCTATCCTCCCTTTCGCCCGACCCGAAACACGCTTCGAGTCTTGGGTTCTGAGTCCTCAATCCCTTCTCGTCCTTCCGAGTGTACGGGGTGGTAGCTGGAGCGTTGGTGGTGGAGCTGGTGTGCAGATACGGTCTGAAGCGAACCCGTTCCACACGGCTGCTTCGGAGTCCCAAGTGGTGGTTGGCGTTAGCGGGGCGGGGGTCTTGCATGAGCCGTCCGCAGAACCGGCCAACCGCAGCGTGGATTACGAAACGGTGATCAGGATTGTTCGGGCAGCTTGTAATTGCGCAGGAGGCAGACGGCAGTAACCACCATCCCATTGACCACCAAGTCGTCAATTCCAAATCCTCCTCCTCCCCTTCCCTCCCCCCATGGCTCCCCCTGCCCGCCCCGCGTCCCATCGCCTCCACTGTGAAGAATGAACAAGTACAGTCAACCCGCATGGCAAGGCTGGGCAACCTTCCCAAGGGTACCCCCCTTGCTTCCTTGCCCCTTCGGCGCAGCCCTAACGACTTTAGCTGGCCAACCTCATTCGAATAATGTTAGCATGGGCCTCCAAGGCCCTTGCACCCTCACCGCGCATCTTTATGATACGGGTTGACTGCACCGATCCCGCTACTCCACGGACCTCTCCTGGGGTGCGCTCCGACCAGGATATCGAGGCGACTGCAACCGATGCGACGAGGGCTCTCCAGGGCGAGCAACGGCATCTGCACGGCAGGTTCATGCGTCGTTGGCGCACTTCATGCGACGCGGAAGTACCGATGGACACGGCAACGCCGCGAGACCCGACGGACGGACTTCAGCCTTGAGCCATCCGGGCCGCAATCGATTCAAGGCTGTGCGCTCGACGCGGTGTCAGAAACCTTTTGCGCGCGCCGACGCCGCACGAACCTGCCGCTCCTCCTCCTTCTCCTCCTCCTCCTCCTCCTCTTCCTCCTCCTCCTCCTCCTCCTCCTCCTCCGATATCCCCCTCCGCGCCGGCAGCAGCGGCTCGAGCCTCGCGCGCGCGCGCGACCAAGCCATCCCCCCCTTGCGCGGGCGCGCGCCTCGAGCGCGCGCCGGGAGGCGGCCGCTGCCGCCGCGCGTGCGCGCGCCGCGGCCGTCTCCCCAGGCGGCCTCTCGCGGAGGCCTCGGGCGGCCTGCGGAGGCCCTCGGAGGTGCCTTTGAGGTCCCTTGGCGTCGTGACGAGGGGGGTTCGAAGACGGTTTTCGAAGAGGAGGAGGAGGGGGAGGAGGAGGAGGAGGACGAGGAGGAGGGAGGAGGAGGAGGAGGAGGAGGAGGAGGAGGAGGAGGTTTTGAGATCCCTGGAGTTTCGAAGGGGAGGTTTGTCGAGGAGGAAGAGGTCTTCGAGGTCCTCGAGCGAGTCTCGACGACTGCGCTGCGCACGCGCTTTTGGGGGGCTTCCGGGAGGCGCCTCGTCGCCCCGGCCGGGTGCCCCACTGCTAGGAGACAAGTCGGTCGGAGCGGGCTCCGGGACGGGCCTCTGCGGGCCGACGCCTCGCCCCGGGACCGTGTGGCGTTCTCGCCGAGGAGGAGGAAGAGGAGGAGGAGGAGGAGGAGGAGGAGGAGGAGGAGGAGGAGGACGAGGAGGAGGAGGAGGAGGAGGAGGAGGAGGACGAGGAGGAGGAGGGGGAGGGGAGGGGGAGGGGGAGGGGACGCGCGTGCGCGCCCTCGCCTCCACCGTGGCGTGCCGCCAGCGCGGCACGCCACGGTCACACCGAGCGCTCTCGCCCGGATCCGTGCCTCCGAGGCGACGATGGGGGCGTGTAGCCCAGGGGAGAGCAATGCGTGTATCCAGGGGCGCCGACGATCTCTGTCTTCGGCAAGGCTCCCGGGCGAATGCGTGCAATGCCCGCCCCTGGGCGGCTCGCCCTTTTCGTCGCCGCCGAGTGCCCCGGGGGCTCTCACGGGTCGATCAGGGAGAAATGCAGCAGAATGATGGGGTCCAGCGCTCCGGGCGTGATTCTGCACGATCTCGTGTATTCCTTCCGCGGCGTCGGCTCTCAGGGCCCTCGCAAGCTCCAGAGGGCGGTCCTCGGAGGCCTCCTGCGGTCCTCGCAGAGGCCTTCGCAGGCCTCCGCGAAGCCTCCGCGGGCTGCGGAGCCCCCCACATCCGCGCGCGCGAGTCTGCAACAGAGGGGGACGTCGTCAGGCAGCCGTGGGGTGCAGGCCAAGCGCTGGAGTGAGAGCCGACAAAAACGGCATGACCATGTTACGGCGCCCCGCGCGGGTTTCTCGCATCTGCGTTGGGACCTCCTGGCGCCAGGGAGGGGGGTCTGGCTGAGGTCCAAGGCAAATCCGCGCCCACCGTCAACAGGTTATGTTTATGCCGTTTGGGGTTCTTCTATTCAATCGGACACGTCCCTCTACAGGGGGAGTACGTATTCAAAAATAGTCAAAAAAACAGTCTGTGGACGACTGTTCGATTATTGTCTGAATATGTTTGAATATTGTTGGATGATTCCCCATATCCAAAAGATGGGGCTCTTGTAATACTCCGACCGCTCCGAGCTCCCTTCTCCTCCTCTTCCTCCTCCTGGCATGTTATGATTTATTATGGAATGGTATACCGTGTTTCGTTATGGTATGTCATGGCATGTAATATTGTGTGATGATATGTCATGTTATGACATGGCATGTTATGATATGGCATGCTAAGCTACGGTATGGTATTGTATGTATGTGGTGCCGTGGTACTTTATGATCTGGTGTGTTTTGCTATGGTATGGCGGTATGGTATGGTCTGTCAAATTATACCCCATATTCGAGTTCTTGTTCCCTATATCCAAAGGATTGGTTATTGCTATTACTCCGACCGCTCCGAACTGGCTCCTCCATCCTCCTTTTCTTTATCAGGTCATGCACTCGTATGCTATGACACGATGTTTAATGCAATGCAATAGTATGGTAAGGATCATGGTAGGTGTTATGGTATGATATAGTCTGTCACTGTCTGTGATGATGTGATCTTTTGTGGCATGTCATATCGTGTTATGGTGTGGCATACCATGCTAGCATATGACACGATATGGTATGCTGTTGAATATTGTGTTGGTGTCATATGACATGACAAGTTATGATAGGATACGTTATGCTGCGATGCTGATGAGTCTGCTGATGATGGTCATGATGATGCTGATGCTGACGATTATGATCTTGATGATGATGATGCTGCTGATGATGATGATGATGCTGATGCTGCTGCTGCTGATGATGATGATGATTATGATGATGATGTTGGCGGGGCATATGTTGAGGATGTCTCGAGCGAGGCGCGGGTGTCAGCATCCCAAAGGGAGAGCCGCCAGGGGGTATTGCACTCCGCCGTTCGCGCCGAAATGGCGGTGATGTCTCGAGCGGGTTGCTTGTTTCGGTGCTCGACATCCTCCGCTCTTGGATCCGATGTTGAGGATGTCTCGAGCGAGCCGCTCACTTTCGCCCCCCAAGGGAGAGCCGCCAGGGGGCATTGCACTCCTCCGTTCGCGCCAACATGGCGGGGATGTCTCTAGCGGTTTGCTTGTTTCGGTGCCCGACATCCTCCGCTTTTGGAGCCGATGTTGAGGATGTCTCGAGCGAGGCGCCCATTTTCGCCCCCCAACGAGGGCGAGATTTTGAGGATGCCTGGAGCGATTTGCTTAGTTTGCGTCCGCAGCACTTTTCGCTTGCGGAGCAGATTTGGAGGATATCTTCTTCCCTCCAGACCACGGGCAGGTTATTTTTGAGTGAGCGGTTGTGAATCGGACCCGCAGAGCATCACGTTTGTCTCGTAGTGGCTAGGATCACCATACCCATACTCACCCATACCTAGACGCACTCACACTTAGACTTACTCACATTCAGAATCACTCATACTCAGACCCACCCACCCTCAGATTCACACCCACTCGTACCCAGACCAATTCAGACTCAGACTCGTAGTCGTTATACATACTCATACTCCTTCACACCCAGACGCACCCACTCACAGATTCACCCTCACTCAGATTCACTCACACTCAGATTTGCGCATTCTCAAGCCCACTCTCACTCAGACTCTCCCATACCAAGACCCACTGGCACTCGCACTTAACCATGCCCGGGTTCACTCACAATCAAATTCATTCACACTCATATCATTCATGCTCAGATTCGCTTAGTCTTCTCCTCTTTGGTGGTCCAGTGCCCACTCGCTCTTCCACTTGTGCTTCGCTCATCTCTCCTGGAAGATGCCCACTGAAGTCACTGAAGTCATCGCAGTCGCGGTCGTCGTTGTCGCGCCTGTCGTCCACGCCGGCTCGCGCTCACACCCAGATGTTCACAGACAGAGCTATTCAGCGAGAAGCGACAGGAGTATGATATGCGTATCTGGGGAGCTCCACGCAGTGAATGGTTATTACATACTCCGACCGCGCCAACCCCTGCACATTTACTTCTCCTCCTCCGCCTCCTTCTCCTCATGCCATGCTATGATCGGTTATGTGGTGTCATTGTATCTTATGTTTGTTGTGTTATGGTATATTTCGATATGCCACGATATATTATGTTACGGTATGGTTTGCTGTGTTATGTTACGATATGGTAGTTGTGATCGGTCATGCTTTTATGGAAAGATCTGACATGAGATGGTAGGTTATGATATGTTATGCTGCGATTATTATGCTTATCATGCAAATGATGATGATGATGCTGATGATGATGATGATGATGATGATGATGATGATGATGATGATGATGATGATGATGATGATGATGATGATAATGATGGTGATGGTGATGATGATGATGATGACGATGATGATAGCGGGTCGTCGTTGTCAAGTCCGTCGTCCACGCCGACTCGCGCTCACATTCACATGTTCACAGACAGAGTTCTCCAGCGAGAAGCGACATGAGTGTGAGATGTTCATATGGGAAGCTCCACGCAGGGAACATGCTTTTATTTCTCGTCTAAATCCCCCCCCTGTAGGAGGAGATGCCCGACCTAATTCGTCTAGTCCGAGCGTTGGATTTTGGCCACGCGCAGAGGGGGGTGGGGGGAGGGGGGAGGGCTTCTTAGAAGCACCCCTGCCTCTTAGAAGGCGCGGGCCTTATCTATAGATGCAAGGCCGGCGCCTTCTAGGAAACAGCCTCCTAAAAAGCCCTGCCCCCTCCCTCCATCCCCCTGTGCGCGCCGCCAAGAATATGTCCGAATCCCCCTGTGGGAGGACATGTCCGACCTAATTCTTCCAGTCCGAGCGCTGGAAGGAGAGCCCTTCGGAGCCATCTTGGGCCATCTTGGACGCTTCAACCCCTCGCGGACCCCCCCGTCCAGGTCCACGGGAGGGGGTGAGGGAAGGGGTCAAGACCCCCTCCCCGCCCCCAAGCCGTCTCGCTCACTCCCACCCGCCCTCCCAACACATACGTAGCACCCGAGCCTGGCCCGAGCCCCAGCATATTCAGCAGTCGTCTTTGGATGGGCAGCTACTGGGGGCGACTCCGCCGCCGCCGCCGCCGCCGCCGCCGCAAACCCCTCAGCGAAGGGAAGGAGGGGTTGTAGAAGAGGGAAAAGGGATCTCGTTAGACCACTTGTCGCCCAGAGGGCTGGTGGGTTTCTTCTAGTCCGAGCGCTGGAATGAGAGGAGGAGGAGGAGGAGGAGGAGGAGGAGGAGGAGGAGGAGGAGGAGGAGTAGGAGGAGGAGGAGGAGGAGGAGGAGGATGAGGAGCAAGAGGAGGAGGAGGAGGAGGAGGAGGAGTTCGGCGCTGCGCAAACAAAACCACATTAGTGGTTGTTTTTTGATTCGTTGTTTTGCCGATCGGCGCGGGCCCTCGCACCCCCTCCCTCCCCCCCCCTTGAATAGATCTTGGCTGTTTTTGGCTCCTTTTTCGAGCAGGTGGAGCCTCCCCCATAATGGACCCCCATAATGGACGCACTGCCGCAAACAGCCGCACTAAGCAGAGGTCCCGGGCCAGACCCTCCCCTCCCCCCCCCCTTCCGCCCACTGTCGAAACGCCGAATAAAAAAAACGCTCACCTGTGGGAGAAGAAAACAGATACTGTGGAACAAACACACGGTGGAGGCAGCACACACACACACACGCTCTATCGAAACACACACACAGACAGACACAGACACACAGACACAGACGCACGCACAGAAACAGACACAGGCACACAGACACAGACACAGACACAGACACAGACACAGACACAGACACAGACACAGACAGACACAGACAGACACAGACAGACACAGACAGACACAGACAGACACAGACAGACAGACAGACAGACAGACAGACAGACAGACAGACAGACACACACACACACACACGCGCGCGCTATGGAAACACACTGCTGGAGGATAAAACACATACCCATCGGTCGTTGAAAGTAGTATTTTTTGGATTCCCAGTTCCCAATCTAGTTTAGCCGCTCTCCTACTTCAAGAGTCGAGCGGTTTTCCCGCCTCCCTCCTTTTTAGGGGGCGGGTGGACACCCAATATACTTCCAACGCCTTCCTACTTCTTCCGACCGGTGGGTACTTTGGAACAAACGCACTGGAGGCAGCACGCACACACACACACACACACGCTCTGTCGAAACACACACACAAACGCAGTCACACAGACAGAGACACAGACATAAACACAGACACAGACCCACACACACACACACGCTCTGTCGAAACACACACAGGCGCAGTCACACAGACAGGGACACAGACATAGACACAGACACAGACACACACACACACACACGCGCGCTATGGAAAACACAGACACACACACAGACGCTCTTTGTCACACACACACAATGTGTTGTGTGTGTTTTTCCCAGTGTGTCTCTCTGTCTGTCTGTCTGTCTGTCGGTGTGTCTGTCTGTCTGTCTGTCTGTCTGTCTGTCTGTCTGTCTGTCTGTCTGTCTGTGCCTGTCTTTTCACACTGGGGAGCAGGAAATCAGGGCGGGGTGAAGAGAGCTGCACCTCAGGGGGGGCCTGAATGAGCCCTTTGGTGCCCAAAAGGGACCCCAAATGCGCGCGTGTCTTCGCTTCCCCCATGCACCCCCCCCTCATCGAAGCAACGCCCAACTCTAGGGAGGAGTGAGCTGCCCCTGCTGGAGGGGGGCCCTAGGGTTAAGTCGGGCCTGTCCCTCTACAGGAGAAATATCAAAAAATAGTCAAACACTAGCCTGGGGACGATTTTGTAAAGTGTTGTTTGACCATTTTGGTGTATTCTCTAACCATTTTTTTATTTTCGTCCAAACCCCCCTGTATGGGGGACAGGCCCGACCTAACCCTTAGGGCCCACCCGTTGCCCTCGGGACCCGCTCCTCTCGTGCAGGGCGACGGCGACCCCTGACACCCGCCGCGGCGAGTACGTTTGGCATCCGGGTTGGCATCACAGCCGCCCCGTAAGCAGACGAGGCGTACAAAGCTGGGCTGGAAGATCTGGGCCACTTCCCTCGGATGCAACTTCTTGGAGGCCAAATTCTGATTTTGCCCTGGTCCGAAATCCGGCCTACTCCTGTTTAATCCAGCTTAATCCGGCGTAGTCCCGCTTAATCCCGCTTAATTCTGCTTAATCCGGCTTAGTATGAGGCCCAGTCCGGCGTAACAGCCCCCAAATGGGGCGTTATCCTCTTAAATCCTTCCGACGGAAACCTCCCAGCAGTTGCCTCCTAACCTTCCCCAGGGCCAGAGTTTTGCCTCCCAGGCCGTCTGTTGACGGCCTCCTCGCGAGGCCGGCCGGACGCGAGGGCCCCTGGAGGCCGAACAGAAATGCCAAGAGCCGCCCGCTCCGAGTTCTGTTGGATGGTGGGCCTGTTTTCCACCACCACCACCACAAGTCGCAGGATGGAAGGAGGTGGAGGAGGAGGAGGAGGACGGCCAGTTTTCTACTATTTTCGGCCCCTGGGGTCCCTCGCCGGGCCCCAGGGGCCGTCAGAAACGACGCGGGATGAAGCACCGGCCCCGTGGAAGGGGTCAGGCCTTCTGGGGACGCCGTCCCGAACAAAAATCAGGACGTCGCATGGCTGGGTGCCGAGGATTACTCCCAGGCCACCGACAGCGAGGAGGCGTGAGCTCGCGGACTGGCTCGTGGGCCACCGCCACACCATACCATACCACAGCCTCATCACTGACCGCCCTCCTCGACACTCGGCTCACGCGAAGCAGCACGCTCTCCCTTCCCCGGAGCCCGTCTTTCATGATCGGCCCCTTTTTGATGGTCCCTGGGCCCGAGAACGGCCCTTGGAGGCCGAAATCCAGAATCTGATGGACAACGTCGAGACCACACGACATCCTGCAGTCGGAGATTCGGGACGGCGCCGGCCACCGACGACGACGGCCGCTTCGCCGCCCCGCCGCCCGAGCCGTCGGCTCAGCCCGGAGCCGCCCGCGGTGCCCGCAACCGCGCGGCCGCCAACGCGGGCGGGCGGCCGCCGCGGCGGGGCCGATGCTCCTGGACCGAATGCAGCGGGCCGGCGGCCGCGGGGCGGACTCCCGCGGACACCTCTGTTGCTGCTGCTGCTGAAGCTGCTGCTGCTGCTGCTGCTGCTGCTGCTGCTGCTGCTGCTGCTGCTGCTCTGCCTCTTGCTCAATCGGGCAGCAAGCAGTGGCGTGAGCATGGATCTGAGAAGGCCCACGAGGGTTTCTTGGATCGGCACTGGACCCCCCTACTTGGCGCGAGGAGCGCGCAATTGGTGGCGCTGGAGGCGCCGCCAGGGGGTCCCAGCGCCGATCGAGAAATCCGCGCGGACCTCGAAACGTTTATGTGTACGTTTATGTTTTTTTTTCTGCCCCCTTACGAAAGATTTCGTCAGCAGCATCGCCACAGACCAACGCCCCTTTGATTTTTGTATTGGGCCGGGGGACTGGTAGTGAGGCAGTGCTCGGATTCGTGGAAGTGTGAAACAGCATGGCCTCCTTTGCTGCTGGACGTCCACCCCAGACCTCCAACGCACTGAACAGCTCCAGGCGGAGTTGTTTCGCCGTTTTCGGCTTGGCGTAGGGGCCCCCGCTGGGCCCCAGGACCGTCGAAAGCTTGCTCGGGACGAAGCGCCGTCCCTGGGACAGGGGTCGTGACTTCCGCGGACCCCGCATCGAACAGTAACCCGGGCGTCGGGCTTCTGCGATCACAGGCGCGCTGGCCAGTCAGCCCGAGCCAGTCACGAAGTTTCGGGCCCCCCCGTGCAAAGAGCGAGTCGGCCAGCCGCGCCAGCCAGGCCAGCACAGGCCCGCGACTGCACCTTAGACTCGCTGGCCCGCCATCACAATGGAGTCACACCGGTTATCGTCAGACTTGCTGCTCGGCCTGAAGTTGACCAGTTCGTGCGATCTCATGCACGGGACCTCAGCGATCTCAGAAGATCGCAAGGACGCGCTGACCAGCCACCACGAGCCAGTCGACAGGCCCGTGTTTCTTTTTTGTCCCCCACGGACCTGTGGTCTGTGCTGACTGTGCTGTGTGCTCCATGTGTTTTATGGTCACTCTGTTCTGTGCTCTGATCTTCAGGCGACCGCAGACATGGATCCATGAGGGCGTGGATCAGCGACGGGTCCCGTTTCCGTTGGAAGTCGCGGATCTCCGCCGCCGGACGAGGCGGCACCGGCCGCCTTGCATTCTGTGGAGGGCACCTCCCCCGACCCATGGATCAGGCGACCGCGCGCCAACTCCATGGATCGCTAATCTTATGTCGGGCCTGTCCCCCTACTGGGGGATTTACGACGAGAATTAAAAGTACCCCAAAAATAGTCCAAAAATATTCCAAAAATAGTCCAGGGACTATTTTTGAAGTATGTTTGACTTTTTGGGGGTATGTTTGGGGGTATTTTTTTTTATCGTCGAAGATCCCCCTGGGGGGGGACAGGCCCGACCTAACGCTAATCCACGTTTGCGTGCCCCCGAGACGTGTGCCCGATCGGCGTTGGCGCGCGCTCGCGAGGGGCCCGGAGCTCGGAGGCGCGCGGAGGCGGGAGGCCTCGCTTCGGAGGCCTCCTCGGAGGCCCTTTGCGGGGCGTGCGGGGTCCCCTTGTGGGCGCGCGGCTTGGGGAGGAGGGGCACCCCCTGGGGTGAAGTCGGGCATGTCCCTCTGCACTCTACAGGAGGCAGATTCAGAAATAGTGTAATAATCTGGGACGAATTTTTCATTTAAATTTAAAATACATCGTTTTGGATTACTTTTATTTGTCGTCCAAAATCCGCCTGTAGGGGGACACGCCCGACCGAACCCCGGGGGGGTGGGATAAAAGGAGGGGGGGGTCAGCGGCAACGCGAGGCGGAATACACTCGGACCGAGGTAGAAGATCGAAGTCGGTTCGGGTAGGGTGCCCTAGTGTTCATCGTGCTCGTTGGATGTTTTGGTGCATCCTGGGGGAGGACTGCCCTCGAGTGATCTTATGGTTTAGGGTGTTTTGGCTGACGGATGGGTCTCATGTTCTTGATGTTCTCCTGTCCTAGGTCCGACTGTGGACCCTCGGGAAAACGTGATGCTCGAGAACGCCAGAACTCGGCTTTGCTGACGCTTTTTGACGAGCGCGTCTTGGATTTTGACCGCCCAGTTTTCGTGGGATCTCTGCAGCGGGAGCTCGCGTCAAATTTCAGACTGGGTTTCGTCATTTTTATGACGGCCCCATCAGGCCAATCCGAGTGCCCCGAATCCGAGTCTGAAGTCTCGTTGGAGGGCACATCAATCCCCAATCGCCCACTCATCGCCGACAGGGGCCTGATAGCCCGACCCGCCCAGAACTCTGCGGTGTCGCTGCCTTTGGCCGATCTGGAAGCTCGATGCTTTTTGTCCCTCTGAGGTGCCCTTTCGGCTTCCCGACGCTCCAAGACAGCCCAAGAGGCCCCAATATATAGCCCCAAGACGGCCTACGAGGTCGCCAAGAGAGCGCCCGGACAGTCCAAGACGCCCTCGGCCCAAGACGCCTCCAAGACGGCCAACGACGGCCCCAGGAACGCCCCAAGATGGCCTCCAGAGGGGGGGCAGGGACCTACATTTTGGGACACATTTTGGGCTCTCCGCCCACAGAGACCCGCAGGAGGCCCCAAGAGGCCCCCAGAAGGACTCCAAGAGGCCTCCGAGAGGCCCGAAGAAGTTTCGAGGAGGCCTCCAGGAAGCCCCCAAGAGAGCCCCAAGCCTGCCCAAGAAAGCCCCGGGATGGCTGAACGCCCCGACAAAGCGTCACAGCGCCAAACGGATAGCACGGGATCCACCGTCAGGTGCCTTCTAGGCATGTTCTGCTCACCCACGACTTCGTCCTCTTAACACCTTCGCACGCACGACCAGGAGGCCCCCAGGATGGTCCCACAGGAGCCCAGGAGCCCTCTACATTGCCCAAGCTTTCTTCTTTTAACACTTGCAGAAACACGGCCCTAGCAAAGCCAGTGGCTCGCATGGTGGCGTGCTGAGCTCACCGCGCACGGTCTTATTCCCCGACCTTGCGGAGGGGTTCCCGTTGTGTGTTCCCCTGGAGGGTTCTGGGGGGGTACCACCCCGGAACATGGCCCCGGCCACGCGGCGGAAGCCGGCGGGAGACGGCCCCATTTCGGCAGACGCGCTTCCGTGCGGCACGGGCGGCCTCAAGACGGTCCACAAGATGGTCCAGCCCCCCAAGACGCCCTGGGAGGCTTCCCAGAGGGGTTCCAAGTGGTCTCCGAGCAGTGGCAACATTCATTAACTTCCTATTAGTTCCCCACATCCAAAGTGGGGTTCTTGTTTTCTCTGGACACCCCGCGCAGGAACAGGAACACACACACACACACCCACTCACACTCACTCACACTCTCTCATCATCAACCTCATCAGCATCATCGATGATGCTCTCTCACATGCTTAGTCACTCACATACTCATCATCATCATCATCATCGCACTCTCTCACACGCTCACGAACATCATCATCATCGGCATCGGCATCATCCTCATTCAAACATCATCATCGCCACCACCACTCACAATCAATCATCATCCTCTTCACCACTCATCTTCACCACCACTCATCATCCTCATCCTCATCATCGTTGAGTAAATTGTGAGGAAGTCTCAGGCGGGAGCCCCCTCCCTATGGGGCCCGCAGATCATGTTGGTAATCCGAGCGGGTCATCGGAACCTGTAACTGTCGTCACTTTTGGGCTCCTCAAGCCTGAATTTGGAGGAAGTCTCAGGCGGGAGCCTCGTCTGTGAGTGAATTGTGAGGAAGTCTCAGGCGGGAGCCCCCTCCCTATGGGGCCCGCAGATCATGTTGGTAATCCGAGCGGGTCATCGGAACCCTGTAACTGTCGTCACTTCTGGGCTCCTCAAGCCTGAATTTGGAGGAAGTCTCAGGCGGGAGCCTCGTCTGTGAGTGAATTCTGAGGAAGGCTCAGGCGGGAGCCCCCTCCCTATGGGGCCCGCAGATCATGTTGTAATCCGAGCGGGTCATCGGAAACCTGTAACTGTCGTCACTTTTGGGCTCCTCAAGCCTGAATTTGGAGGAAGTCTCAGGCGGGAGCCTCGTCTCTGAGTGAATTGTGAGGAAGTCTCAGGCGGGAGCTCCCTCCCTATGGGGCCCGCAGATCATGTTGGTAATCCGAGCGGGTCATCGGAACCCTGTAACTGTCGTCACTTTTGGGCTCCTCAAGCCTGAATATGGAGGAAGTCTCAGGCGGGAGCCTCGTCTGTGAGTGAACTGCGAGGAAGTCTCAGGCGGGAGCCCCCTCCCTATGGGGCCCGCAGATCATGTTGGTAATCCGAGCGGGTCATCCAAAACCTGTAACTGTCGTCAATTTTGGGTTCTCGCGCTGCCAGAACGCAGTTCCCAGGCCACATTTTTTCCCCACATCCAAAGTGGGGTTCTTGTTTTCTCTGGACACCCCGCGCAGGAACAGGAACACACACACACACACACACCCACTCACACTCACTCACACTCTCTCATCATCAACCTCATCAGCATCATCGATGATGCTCTCTCACATGCTTAGTCACTCACATACTCATCATCATCATCACTCGCACTCTCTCACACGCTCATGAACATCATCATCATCATCATCGGCATCGGCATCATCCTCATTCAAACATCATCATCGCCACCACCACTCACAATCAATCATCATCCTCTTCACCACTCATCTTCACCACCACTCATCATCCTCATCCTCATCATCGTTGAGTAAATTGTGAGGAAGTCTCAGGCGGGAGCCCCCTCCCTATGGGGCCCGCAGATCATGTTGGTAATCCGAGCGGGTCATCGGAATCCTGTAACTGTCGTCACTTTTGAGCTCCCCAGGCCTGAAAATGGAGGAAGTCTCAGGCGGGAGCCTCGTCTGTGAGTGAATTGGGAGGAAGTCTCAAGCGGGAGCTCCCTCCCTATGGGGCCCGCAGGTCATGTTGGTAATCCGAGCGGGTCATCGGAATCCTGTTTCTGTCGTCACTTTTGGGCTCCTCAAGCCTGAATTTGGAGGAA